GTCTGTCATAGATCAAATATAGCTATCGATCTGAATGAATAAGGAAGACTCAAGATTCAACATAATTTTTTTTCTCGAAAGTTTGATCAAATAGCAGTAAAGAATGGCAATATCGATTTTGGCTGAGTTTTGACTTCTCATTTCAATTTATACCGTCTTTTCTTTTGTTTTCCTCTTCTGTTTTGTCTCTTTTTGTGTTTGTTTGTTGTATTTCTAACTGATAACGGTCTATTCATCTGAATATAGAATAAGACATTTGATTTTTCATAGTAAGAAAAAAAAACGAGAAACATTGAAAATATATTATACGATAAACATTTTCTTCCATCATATCTCTGATTCAACGGAAATTATCCAATTGATTTTGCAAAATTGTTGAGTAGAACAAAAAACTTTATCATTAATATTTAGGTATGATTAAATTTGAGTTTTTGATGTTTTCGTTAGCATTTATCAATAGAAATATCAATAGTGTACTAAAATTTTTAATTCCACAATTCATCACACTTTGACACTTTCTCTTTTTCTGAACATGTCGACATTCATTTCATTTTCAACGATTGAATACTTACATATTTTATCGATGATTAGCAAAACTTTTCATTCCTATTGATACCATATGACATATGTTCGACGTTTATTCATCTTTCTTAGAGCAAACCATATACCACCTCAATGATTATGATGATGCATCACGCATGTCTATTACTTTCTGGTTTATTCTTCTTTTTCTTATCAATAAATAATTTTCATAGAACTATTACTTTGTTACTTAGTCTCATTCTAGTATTCATCAAATTTTTATCAAAATAAAAAAATACCTCTAGACATGACAATTTATTCTAAAGTGCTTTTTTTGAAAAGAATATGTCAAGGTGAACCAAGAAGCTACAGATGAAGAAAAGGATGACGAAATTCTTTTTCTTTTTGAAATGTTGTTTGTTAGATTAAAATAGAAAAAAAAAATAGAATCGCATCATTGTCAAGTTTGTTATTGTTTTGGAGCTGACATAATATTTGAATTTTTTAGGCACGAAGAAGATTATAAATGGTTCTGATAGAGCAGCCCATCATTGTAAATAATCCAATATATCCAAATGCACCATATTCACGTTTTTCTGGTTGACCAGATGAATAACCCTTTAAAAAGAAAAATGTTGAAAAAAGATTAAAATGATAGAAAATCTTAATATTCATACATGAAAATAGACTAAACGTCCAAGTAACCAAATAACACCACCAATTGATGAAACAAGTGGATATTCGACTGAACCTAAACCTAACATAAGAAGAAATTGTGGATAATTTTCCAATGTATTTTGATGTCCACGTTGAACACCTAAAAATGAATGTTTTATATAAAGATCGAAGAAAATATTTAGCTTACAATTAAATGCTTTGCCTTGAGGATTTGAATCAGGTGCATAAAGTGCTGGATATTCAACATTATATCTAAAATGAAAATAGTTCTATAAAAAAAAAAAGTTTGAATTGAAAGACAAGAAACTTCTAAACGGAATTTAATCGTAGTGAATAAAATCAAAATTAAATTTTTATATGATACACAGTCAAAATAAAGTTTTGAATACATTCAAATAATAAAATATCTTCAGTGATTATAAAGATTATATTAAAGTAATATCAAGTACTAAAAGAACGTATCAATAAAAGGGAAGTCAGACAGTTGCTCGCTGGAACACTGACTCATAAGTATGGGTATGAGAGGAATGACTGTGAGGGAATGATGTGGTTGCTGACCTGAGTCTTCTCTTTATTCACATCCATACGCACATCTACATGCATATGAACAAGTGTCCTAGACCCGATAAAAGCTCAACGTTATTGATTCATTGTTCTAATGACGATGATTAAAAATAAAAATACATTTTCTAAATTTCTTGTAAAATAATTTTATAAATCTCAAAACAAATTATTCTTTCATTTATTGTTAAATTAATCAAAATCTTTTGTAAATCAATAAAATTTATATAAAACCTTACCGTTTACGAGCTTTCATTACATTAACACCCATATATTGCAAGACAAACCATGATGATAAAGCAACACCCGCAGCATAGCCATGTTCTTTTGATAAAACAAATGTTAAAAGTTTTGGACCACTATAATTTGTATTCATCTTGATTATATTCTACTCAAAGTTCGATAGAGAACTAAGTAAAAATCTGAAGTTTTAAAACGAAAAAAGTAATTTGAAGTTGTAAATTAATTCATTCTTTTATTTGTGTTTTTCTCTTATGTATATCTCGAGATAATAATAAAATAAAGTAGGTAGACGAAAAAAATAAAAATAAAAAGAACTACGCATTCGATTACATACATACAACAACAAAAAAAACCACATACACTCTAAACGAGAAACAACAGAGAAACAACAAAAAAAAGAAGGTACGCAGAGTACGACTGAAAATAAAAAGAAAAGAATGTTTATGATGTTCTGGCTGTTTGAGACATATATGATAAGAAAAGTCTGACTAAAGACATTTATTTATATTTATAAGGAACGTAAATGCAGGGAAAAATTATTTTATTGAATGATATATAAGGAATGAGAGATTCAATTTAAAAATCTGTACTCCAAAGTTCACGTAATATGCGAGCATCGGTAGTTGTAAGTAGAGGTCCAAATAATGGATTCCATTGATGAAGATAAAAACATAACCAACTAAAATAAGAAAAAAAAATATTTATATAAATGAGAAGTTTTCAATAAAAAAAAATTCTTAGCATACAAGAGCCAACAACAGGCCGATGTTAATATTAACATTGTTTGAATGAGACTAATTATATAAATAAAAAATTAAATTGAATAGAATAAACATATGAGAAACTTTACCGTCGATTTGGTCCTTTGGGTATAAGAAATGGTAAAACAACACCGATCAAACCCCAAAATACAGTAAAGAAAATAAGAGCAATGGCAAATTTTTCCATGTTTTTTGTTTTTTTCGTTAATTAAGAATAATCTAAAAAGAGATGATTATATTTCACCTGGTTTTTAAAACAGAAAAATACACACATAAATAAGTAAGGTCAACTATGAAGATAAATACACAAAAAAAAAAGAAAACGTTACATTAAAAAAGCAAATCAATTAAACATAGAATGTGATAGAAATATATTGCATAAATAACATACGATCTCGTAATGGAAATGATTATGCTCAGGATAGCAACTAGGAATCAATATACTGTCTTTTTTTATCTCATGTTCGACGAAAAAAAAAGGAATCTTCTGTTGCATATAGGAATGATAGAGAATCTTGAAATCATACAACAATGGAACAGTACTTTCTTATATCTTCTAAAATCAATGACATATATAAACAGGGGATATCAAAGACATCATCTAACTGACTAGAAACGTCAAATTTATCTTCTAACATCCTCTTTAAATGAATTGACATCTATACTTCTCACGATGATAAAATGAAAAGAAAAAACAAAAAATAGAGATACAATATAATTAATATGCACAGTAAAGAAAAATAATCATTAAAAAATAAATAAAACAAATCAAAAGAAAATCATAATTCTTTTTGCACAAAAGAGGAAAACGAGTGACATCGATAGATATACGACAGATAAAAAGTTAAATCAAAGAAGAAAAACCAACAAACACTTTTCAAATGTATACAATGTGCATATTGTTTTTTTTTATTAAGTATTCTTAATTAAAGTGCATAGAATTAATTTATAAAGAAAAAAAAGCGAGTGTGATGTATTTTTTAATTCATGCCAGCTACCTCTTCCAGTTGTCCAAGGAATCGTGGAACACGTGAACTCTCATCCGCCTGACGTGCTACTTCTATAAGATCCAATAATGCTTTAATACCGATCCATACTCTATAAAAGAAAAAACAAAATAAGTTTTAAATCTTTATAATAATCGATAAAAAAATTTACTTTTTATCGTGTAATTTTTTTTCCAAAACTCTCATTTCATTATCATTAAAACAATGTTCAATTTCATTTAATACATGAAATATATGTCTACCACTGGTCATATTTGATAAATGAATTACTTTTGAAAATGATGCTAATAAACCGAGTTGTTCAAGTATATCACGATGTGTTGCTGTTGCTATAATTAATAATTTACGACCTTTTGGTGGTGGACGTTTAAATAATAGTTTTAAAGTTTGTAAAACATTATTTGAATAACGTGGACCAACAGGTGCATATTCAAGTAAACTTTCAAGTTCATCAACAACAACACCTATAAAACAAAAAACCAAACAAATTATTGTAATTGAAAAATTTTCGTTTCTTAACATACATGATAAACTTGATTTATGTGCATCTTCAAAAATTTTTTTTAATTGTTGACATTTAGCTAATTCTGAAAAACCAAGCATTGTTTGTGCTGTACAAAATTTTAAATATGGAAATTTTGATAGAAGTGCAATGTGTGCAGCTAATGCTGTTTTGCCACTGTTTGGTGGACCTATAATGAAAAAAGAAAATAATCATATTTAAAACTATTCACTTGACTTTATCTCAATAGTTTTCATGTACATATAGACAAGAAGATCCCAGTCCTGTCGGAACCAATTTTTTCGATCGAAGCCAGGAACAATACCTTTTATGATTGTGTAAAACTTTTGTACAATGTCATATTGTTACGACTCATGTGTTATAAACAGATATGGACAAGATGGTTCTGGTCCGGGTTTCACTGGGACCGGAACCAAAAATGACCGATCCCATTGTTAAAGGCTTCACCATTTGATATGATATTTGTTTTTCCTTTTTCGTTTCTCTTTCTTCTCTCTACTATTTCTCTCCCTGGATGTACCTTCTCGTTCTTCTTAGTTCATGTTTCTTTGATGTGACATATATATATTCGTTTGTTTCTTTTTTTCTATTTTGTCCTCATGTTGTCAACCCTAGATATTTTCTTTTTTCTGCAAAAGGTCAAATAGAAAGTAAATATATATGTGCGTGTGTGAGTGAGTGCATTTCGTTTTGAAATAAAATTAAAAAAAGAGGATCTAAAATCCGATCTCTAATATCCATTCATGTCTGTTCTTGCGATATAGATTCATAGTGTCAATAAGAGAATGTCTCGGAAAGATAATGAATGACTTTAATATAAAGTTTAAGATTTCAAAAAGATTGACTGTTTTAAATAAACACATTTTTTATTTGTAGTATACCTAATAGAGAAATAATTTTCAAGTAAACTTTCACTAAACAAAATAATATCTTCTAACATTAGTAAAAGATTATTAGTTTTTGTATTAATTTATCAAAATTACCTTCTATTAAAATTGATACAAGTGGTGTCATTTCACTTTTAACTGTTTGACGTATACGTAATTGTCCTTCTTCAAGAACATCAGTAACAGGTTGTCCCCAAATAATAATACCATTTGAAATATACGAATCAAATTCTTCTTTACTAATACCAAATGCCTATAATAATTTAAACATAAATTATAAACAATATAAAATTTTTTTTAAACATACCGGTTTAATATCATTTTCAAGTGCATGCATAAAATCAGCTCGACAAATTCTTAATTTATCTGCTGCATCTGGATCAATCTCAACATGTTTACCTGCCTAAGAAAAATATATTCAATTAAAAATTAGAATAAAAAATCAAAAAGAAAAAAACTAATTTATTTTTCTAAATTTACTTTAATATGTCTATTCATAGCAAATGACATTGCAGCTCGTACTAAACCTTCAATTTCTGCTCCACTAAAATTTCTTGTTAATTCACTAAATTCTTTTAAATTAACATCCGAACTTAATTTATTATTTTCACGTAAACGTTCTGTATGAATATTTAATATTTGTAATCGACCATGTTCATCTGGTAAACCAATTTCAATTTGTACTTCAAGTCGACCAGGTCGTAATAATGCTTCATCAATCATATCACGACGATTTGTCATACCAATAACAAGAATATTATTTAATTGATCGACACCATCTATTTTTGATAATAATTGATTAACGACTGTATCATGAACACCGGCACCACTTGCCTATTGAAAAGAAATCTTATTATTTATGTATATATGTCGAAAAATAAAAATTTAACGAACCACAGAACCACGAGATTTACAAATAGCATCGATTTCATCAAATATAATTATATGTAAACCACTATTGGGTCCAAGCTAATGAAAAACATAATTCAATAAATTTGAACAAAATATTATTAATCTATTTACTCGTTTTTCTTCTTCTTCAGCTTCAGCAAATAATTTTCGAACATTTGCTTCTGATTCTCCAACATATTTATCAAGAATTTGTGGTCCATTGACTATTTTTGGTTCACGAGCATTTAACATTTTACCAATTTGTCTGAAAAAAACATCCGAAATTCTATTGTAAAACATTAATTAAAATAAATATGTTATACCGAGCCATCAATGTTTTTCCTGTACCCGGTGGACCATATAATAAAATTCCCCGACAATGTTTCATTCCTAATCAATATAAATTTCCATTATTTTTGTAGAATATACAATAATATTTTTACCTAATTGATAAACAATTTCAGGTGGAAAAACACGTGAAGCAAAAGCACGTCGAAATATTGCATTAAATTCTGCATCAAGACCACCAATACCCATTGTTTTAAAATCAAAATCAGGATTAATAATTGAAACAAATTGAGATTTTCTATTCAAAAATTAATTAAATATATATATTTTATTAAATATTCTTTCGGTTTGTTTCGAACTTACCCTTTTGATTTTCCAATTAAATTTATTGATGAACCTTCTCCACGCTCAAATACAACCATTGTATTTGGAAGTGTAACACCAATAGAAATTTTACGTGCTTTGGCACTTTGACCACGAGCAATAGCAGATAAATCAGCAGCTAGACATAATAAACAATTAAAAAAGAAATTTTATAAATTTTTCTTACCTTCGATTTCTTTGACTGCTAATGTTAAAGTTTTTTTATCCATAAATTGAAATGGTAACTAAAAAAATAAAAATTCAAATTTTAATTGGAAAAAGAAATTTTTTTGTTTGTTGATTATTTATTCCATACACTTTGTCCAACTGAAAATGCATGATCAGCATATTGTTGTAAAAATTCTACTGCCATTTTATCTGTATCATATGGATCATTTGTTGTCCTAAGGATAAAAAATAATTTTGAACAAAAAAAATATCTAATTTATTCATTCATACTTTTTGTTATTTAAAAAATCGACTTCAAGTACTAATGTTGAAATTGATTGTACATTTTTATCAAATGCATAAGGTCGAATTTGATATGGTCGATCGAGTTCAATATTAGCCCATCGGCGCTTAACAGAAACAGAAAGATATCTATTATATTGATATAGACTTGAAAATAAAAATCTTACTTGTAGTGTATTAAAACCGATTTTACCTTGAGGCATTGATGCATATTTTGTTATTGTAAATATATATTTTATAGCTGTTACATTTGATGATAATTCAATGTGTCTAAATATTAAGAACAAAAAAAAACACGTCATGTTCTATTATTTATTGAATAGTTTATAAAATTTTCTTTTACCTAACACGTTTTGGATCAATATCTTTTTCATTAATAATAGCACAATTTGTATATGTAAGGTCATCCGTTGGACATTTGGCAGCTACAAGTTGAATAGCTTGAGCAGCCATTGAATCTGAAAAGAAAATGATACCATAAGCAATGAGAAAGAAAGAAATATCTCGTTCTTTTTTTTCTTTTCTATAGATCATTGCAAATAGCTAAATTAAGCAGTGTGTTAACCCAGGAAAAAAATACTTCTCTATGTCACAGAGGAGCTAATGAAATTTCATATTGGCAGCAAAGAAAAAAAGACCGAGCGAACATACTAAGTATATTACTATTATTGTTCAGTATTTACACTTTTATTCGCTGTTTTCTGTCGATAGTAAAAGAAAATAATTGATGAATGTCATTGTGTTTCAGTAATTTTTCTTTGCGCAAAAAGTTTTATATTTAAATTAATTTAGAAAAATAAGTGTTGGAGAAAGATGATGAATTGTTTTCCTGTTTTACATGTTCTGTCTGTTTTTTATATGAGACAGAGCAGAAAAAAAAGCAAATATAAAATAGGAAAAAAAAAAGTAGAAACTCTATTCATCATTATATCTCAAGAGAAAAACGAAGTTTAGGGTAAAGATATGGAGGTAAAAGAAAAATCTCGAGAGAAAAGAAAAACTGATATGAACGTCAAATGATCTTTGTTTTTCTTCTTTTCATTATTTGTTTTAGTTCTTATTTTTAGACAAAGTACAATGGATCGATTAATATATGTAAGAGAAAAAAAACAATAATTCCGATCGAGATAATAAAAAAAAATGAGACTACCATTCAAATGTTGTTTTTGATGAGATGTGGACCATGCTGTTTGAGGTCGTGATGGAGAAACAATAGAAGACTGCTCGTCTTGAATATTACTATAAGATTTCGTTGTGTTATCACGTAACCAAGAAAACATGTCTAATCGTTTATATTACTGCTAGTACAGTTCGGCCACGTACATATATATATACATACACTCTGTCCTTCATCCACGTCGTCGGCTCCATGACTCATTCGAACAAATAACTGACTGATCGGATATGAGTCATTTCTCTTTTTTACTGCAAAAAAGCGCTATGTCTATGCAACTAATATTTGCTTTTCTCATAGGACAACTTCTCACATAGAATACAAAAAAAAAAAAGAGAAAATGCTTCGTCGATGGAATAAAAAGCAATTATTAATCTAGTATACTTATTTTCTCGCAAGAAAAAACAATAGAAAAAAAAGTCCTTCAAACTTTATACTACTTTTTTTTTGTTTTTTTTTTATAAACAATAAAAATTTACCTAATACACAACAATAACAAATGTTTATAATTAAAAAAAAAACATGCAGATCTTTAAGAAAAAAAATGGAGAAAAGTTTTTTTGAGTAGAATAAAAGACAAACAACAATAATTTATAACTTAGCACGGAGATGAATTGATATTGGTTGAAATATTTTTGTTAGCATATAACGAAGTTGAGATAATGCTGTTGACGTATTACTTAAATTTAATGTTCTTAAAGCATTACTTATAACATTTGATGATGATGCTAATATACTAATTATATTTTGTGAATCAAGTTTAGTTAATAAATTTTTTTGATAAATTTTTATTAATATTGATAAATTATTTTCTGTTAAAATATTTTCTTGTTCATATATTAATAAATAAGCACGTGCATATTGTTCAAAAGGACTTGTTATTAATAAAATTTGTTCAAGAAAATTTTTATTAATTTCATATGTTGAATTATTAATATGTAGAATATAATTTTTTTTAATCCAATATGTAAGATATTTATTAAAATATTTATCATCAATATTATCTACTGGAAATTGATCATAAACAAATTCATAAGCAAATAAATGTATAAAAAAATTATAGTAAGTTTTTAATTG